CAAATCCTACAACTTCTCACTCTTTACTGGAAGTAGAAAAAGCAGACCTTATATTTATAGATAAAACAAGAAGAATTTACTTAGTTGCAAAGTAAGTGTTTGTGCCCAAGTCTCATTTTACTAGGATACCTTGCCCAAAAGCAAACTTCTCTGTAGGAACTGATAATACGAAGATCCCACGGAACCCAGGAGAAGCACAGCCCTGTTGACTCCAGCTTTGTGATCAAGGACACTGCTGACAGAAAAATATCTCCAGACCCACTCTAACTAAGGAGCACTCAGGAGGGAGCACTGAACAGAAGCTGCTCCTAGACTCTTCCTTTCGATATGTATAGCTTCCCCCTCCAGCAGAACGCGCCCCTACCCCATCACAACTCCCATCCAACAAGGGAAGCCCACAAGCCGTGTGTGCCATTAAGGAGGCTGCCGGTGCTGGGCTAGGGGTTGCTAGTAAAGGTGCAAATAGGATATTATGCTTTTTCAATGCAAGATGCTGCTGGCTGAACCATGTGCCTGAATATTACTGAGAGGTTGCTTTCTTGAAATCAGTGAGAGTTGAGACCTTGCTTGCTGGGTCCCAAACTTATACTGTACTAATCAATATATCCAAGAATCTGGTCCCCAAGATGATACAACCAAGCAAACAAACACAAAAATCTACTTTTAAGAAGGACATTTACAGTCAGCTGTTACACATGTCATTTTACACTAAGTTTTCAGGACACAAGGAGTCCATGACGGGAACAAGTTTTATACCTATGTCTTCAAAGAAACAAAAAGGATAATGTATTTGTAGAATTCAGTGTTCTCCTGAGCCAAATGCCTATCACCTTGATGATACGCCCATCAATGTAGAACCAGTGGACCAGGCTTCTCAAGTTTCCTCCAACTTTATAACAAGCTAAAGAGTGCTTCTCCAAGTGCAGCCCCAGGACGAGCTGCGTCACTTGAGAATCTGTTAGAAATGCAAATTCTTGCTATCTTCACCCACTCAGAGTCCCTAGGGTGGCCCTTTAGTGTGGCCGCCACTGATCCCTGTCCATTATTCACATCTTTATGGAGCTCCATTTCACAACGATGGGGCTGATTCGTATAGCGAACAGAAAGTCGCCAATGTGATCATTTGTGTCACTATAAAAAGCGCTGTGGCCTCCTCCGACTGTTTTCTGTCTTGGACCTCTTGCTCCTCTTGCTCTAGGGAAGCCAGCTGCCATGCTGTGAGGATGCTCAAGCAGCCCTATGGACGGGTCCACGTGCTGGGGAACTGAGGCCTCTGGCCAACAGCCACCTTATAAGTGAGCCATCTTGAAGGCAAACTGGCCAGCCCAAGTCCAAACTGCTCGAGCGCAACCTGAGACACTGAGGCAAGTCATGCAGCCCATCTGCTCCCAGATGACTGACCCCCAGAAACTGTGCGAGATAAGAAATGCTTATTATTCTTCTCAGTATCTTAAGTTTTGGGGTAATTTGCTTCACAACATTGCTCTTTTTCATCCTTGTGACTAGCAAAACTCAATCATCTCTGGGTAATTCTGATGTATACTAAAATCTTTGAGAGCCAGTGAGCTAGAACATTCATTCATTCTCCAAATAATTGTTGTTTGTACCTACTGTGTGCCAGTCCAAGAGCAGCAATCCAGTGATGGGCAAAACAGATGCTTCCCAACCTCGATGTCTCCTTTTCTTTTTCTTCATTTCACTCATCACAGTTTGTATCATTTATCTATGTGCACGTACTTATGGAATGTCTGCCACTGCTGCACTGGCAGTTCTGGGGGGACCTTTGCCGGGTTTCCTCACCACCTACCCCTGGGGCTGCATGGCACATGGGAGGTGCTCAGTTAATATGCACTTAGTGGGTGACTTTCCCTTCTATCTTCACTGCCTTCCTCCTATGCAATGAATTCAGGCCCCAGGAACAGGCCTCTAAACAGCACCAATAACATTAAAGGGAGCCAGGTGTGCTCCCCTGGGAATCTAACTGCCATTGGCTAAATTTCCATACAGGGACATATCTTTTGTATTCGAAACAGCAACTTTTAGAGTCCCTCTATTTTACACATGCAGATTCATAAACACTTATAAGGAATATGTATGCTGTGGGTTTAGAGATGTAAGACATTAAATGGGAAACCATCTTTCATGGATGGGTCAGCAGCCCATCGGTAAAGAAAGGGGCTCATCCTGCGTCACCCCCAGGTGGAGCCCTGTGCTAATCACGAGAGCATAAAGTGCAGGAGACAGCCACGTGTGGTTCTTGGATGAAGACGTCCTGCTGGCTCCATACCGTGTGGCACCCCGTCTGTGCATACATCTCACTGAACAACTCTACGATGGGTTCTTCTGTTCAGTAACTGAGGTAAGAGTGTTGGAAAATGAGGAAGTGGTGAGGCAATAAGTCAAGAGCTTTTCAACGCGACCTTAGAAGATGCAGGGGCATTTTGAGAACACTTTTTGATAACCGAAATAAAACACTCATTGATTTTTAAAAATTCTTCTGGCAGATAGATTGAGATGTGGGTGATGTCATTTTGCATATATATGAGAATTTCTGATAAATTATAAAACAGACTCTGGCTCTCAGCATATTTCTGAGCAAGATCAAAGAAGAGGTATAATGATTCCACATCCACAGGGCATTCAGAGGGCGGCGGGTACGCTGCCGGGCACAGCTTGCCCGGGCTGTGCCTCCTGCCCGTCCTCAGTGAGGGGCTCACACTGAAATACGACAAGGGGCAAGAGCGGTGGATGAAGTCAACGTCAGGCCATGCCCTCTGTCACGTTCATGTCCCCACCCACACAGCCCGGTCCGCCCGGTGGGAATTTAATGGAGCCTTGTCCACTTGCTCTTTTTCATTCTTTTGTGACTACGGAACTCAACAGTGCTGCCCCACAGAACTTTGTGTTGTTCTATCTGAACTACCCGCTCCACTAGGCACCAGGAGCACGTGGCTACTGAACTTGACACGGGGCTAGTGAGACAGGAACTGAGGTTTTCCTCCTATTTAATCCTGATTTATTCCAATATAAATGGTCCTTTGTGGCTAGTGACTGTGTACTGGGCAGGACAGTGCTAGAAAATATTAACAGCTGCAAACTGGCCCGTAACTCACTTCAGAAAGGTTTTCTGATTCCCATTTCTCATATGAGCACACGGAGGCTCACAGGATTACGTGACTTGCCCATGACCAGAAAGCTAGTAAACAGCAGAGAAGAATTCACACTCAATCTTCCCAACCCAACGACACTCTTGCAATGACATCAAACTATAATCCCCCTTCTTCAGGTAAAATAAGCCTTAAAGGCAAGCATTAGCCTCTGAAAACTCCCAAATGTATGAAAGGAAGCTGGCCATAGGGGGTATGATTTCTTGCAGCAAAAACACACTAGAGCAAAACTTTCTACAGCTATGACTATCTAACTTGAATATCTCAAACTGCATGTCGATACTAAGTATATCTGCCAGCCCGGCACTGTGCCCTAAAACTTTTGCTCTAATCAAGCACTGCCCACATGAATTCACGAGAAGACAACAATATGAAAATGACTTTATTAAACTTCTGCCAAATCCTGTTATGCTGTCTAAGTATTACTCTATCCGGTTTACCCTTTGCTGACAAACTAGATGATACTTTCTTTCCTAAATCTACAGAATCCAATGAAACTGCACAGAAGATAAAGAGTTTAGGATTCCAAAGAGTTCTTCAGAAATAAAGTGTCAAAGGCATGACTTTAAAGGGGTGGGGGGCATGCTTAAGGAAAATAATATGCAAGGTCATATGTAAATTTTGTGTTGAATTCTACATAAAATATTTCACATTACTAAAATACCAAAAACCCGGAACAGAATCTGAAATTCTCAATTCAGATACTCGTGTGCCCTATATCCATAATCAGATGAGTATTATCTCCTTAAATCTCTCCTTTGTTCATAGGGACCCATTGTGGAGCCCAAGTTAGGGTGCACGGTTGTAAACTCATTGAAATTAGTGTGGAGAACATGACTGTTTTTTAAGGACAAAACTAATACCCTTTGGCTCTATTACAGCTTTCATATTGCCAAGGGGATCTAAGAATTTTCTTAATATTGCCATTCTCAGGTAAAATCAAAGAAATAATGGGATGATAAGCTGAAACATAGGTAGAGAAATGGATAAGACCACACATGGAGGACCAAAGGCTGGCTGAAAACACTACATAACAAGCAAGTGTGATAATCTTGTTATATAAAATCTAGTTTTTGGATTAGAACTAGTGGACTCGAGTGATAACAGCTGTACAAGGTGCTAGAATTAGTCTCATCGATGCCTGGACCTACCTGGCACTATCCTCTGGTCACAAATTCAGCTCCCCAGCCTGGCCCCCTGTTAGCAGTGTGCATGGGAGGGGGTGGTGAACCAAGGATGGCCGAGACAGGGTCTGTGTGTCCTGCCCTTGAACCTGGATGGTCCTTGGCTGCTCTGCCTCGGCCTTAAGAAACTGGCAGCTTCTATTTCCCATCTTTCGGAACACATGCCAGGAGCCCTGAACATCCATCTAAGAAGCTCCGTTACCCTCGGACCACCATGCAAGAGACCCCAGGCAGCCACATGGTCAATGGTCCCAGCTGAGCCCGGCCTTCCAGCCATGCCTGCCAAGGGGCCAGACGTGGGAGTGAAGCCATCCCATGAAGCAGCTGAATACAACCAAGTGACCCCCGCCCCGCCATCAGTGCCTGTGGAACAGTAGTATCACCCAGCCAAGCCTGGCCTGACACACAAATTATGAAAGAAAAATAAAGTAGTTCTTATTCAGGCCAATTTCTTACCTCCCAAGTTTCGGAGTAGTGTTTTATGCCGCAATAGAAATTGGAGCAGAATGTTTCTCTTTTCTTCAGTTAATCTATTTTCCCTCCAAAACCACCTTTTAATTGCTCTTCTATAACATTCATATGTGTTTATTAAATATCAGGCCTAACCCTGCCTGCCCACCCAATCATTCCAACTTTTTTTAACACCTACCAATGAAGCCAGAAGATGGTGGGTTGGGCTGAATCTTCTCCTTAGTGTTCTCCTGGATAATGTCCCAAAGCTGCCATATAAATTTAGGATGAAGAATGTAAAACGGCTGATCTGGATTTCTCTGACGATGCTGAACATATGGAGTGAACAGGTTGTAATCTGGTTTCTTGTACCACTAAGAGAAAAAAAAAATCCACACAATAAAGTACTGAGGACCACACTCTGAAAAGGAAACAGGGCAGCACCTGGGGAGGGGGAACTTAGAGGTGAACGAGTGCAAAGAGAGACGAGGGTTCTAGCCCCGAGGGACTTGAGTAAAGTGAGGGAGATGGCTAAGGCAGCGGTCAGCAGGCTTCTCTGTAAAGGGCCAGGTAATAAATTCATTAGGCTTTTGGGGCCATGCAGTTTCTGTGTCAACCACTCAACCCTGCCTTTGTACTGTGAAAACAGCTACAGAAGATACATAATGAATGGGTGTGGCTTTGTGCCAATAAAACTTTATTTAAAAAACAGGGCCAGATTTGGCCCTCGGCTATAGTATGGTGACTCCTGAGCTCAATCAGTGTATTTCAAAAATATGTTTCCCAAATCTAATCTATAGTGACAGAAAGCATGTCAGTTACGGCATAGGTCTGGGGTTGGGGCTGGGAAGGATGATGGAGTGATGGAAATATTCTATTTCTTAATTGTGGTTGGTGGATACATGACTATGTTTTTGCTAATACTCATCAAAATGAACACTTACACTGATAATACATAAATTATTTTATGAAAACATGAGCCATAAGGTAGATTTTAAATAAAAGTATATTCAGAAGTGTCTCAGGTGCCACCCTGAAATGAGATCTGGAGAGTGTGTGGGGGAGAGGCTTAGCTCATTGGGCTCTGAGGCCCCATGCTCCCTGCGCACGGACACCCTGTGTACATAGTAGGACCCCAAGGAACATTCCATGGTTGAGTGTGTTCTGTGGCTTCCACTTTTTTGAGAATGAGTGGGCCAGACTATCTTTAGTAAACTGTGCCTTCAGATGACACAGCAGTGGGAAGGAAGCAAGAGGGTGTGGGACTTGCTTCTTCCCGCCTCTTCCCAGGGCTCACGCAGCCGTCTCAGAGCACCGGGCCTGCAGATGCGGCCCTGGCGCTTGGATTTCGGCAGTGTGGCTGTCCTCACCCACTGGGTTGGACAGCTCTGTGCCCAGGGCTTGGATACTTCCAACAGAGGAAGAAATAAGGTCCAACAGCTAGATTCTCTCAGACTGCCCACAAATAGCAAGGGAGCTGTCAGAACTTAAAAGGAAGAGAACCTCAGGCTGGGAAGGAAGCTGGTAGTTGAAACACCCCTTTGATGCCTGATTCTCAGTAGAGGGTACATATGAGAATCACCTGGGGCTTTCTCAAAAACACATGTCCAGGCTACATGCTACATTTCTGGAAATGAGGCTCTGACAGATATAGTTGAAAAGTACTCCCCAGGTGATTCTGATTTGCACTCCTGGTTGAAAGCCGGTTAACAATCATGCTAGGTAAAAGTCCAGCCTTGGAACACCCCTTCCAGAAGGATCCACTCGACCTTGGGCAGCTCTCTTACAAAGCTACCCGTTGGTGCAGCCAAGATCTGTTCCCCCTCATTCATCCTAAGAAGGCTGCAGAACAGGTGAAAAGACGCTCACTGGCCCAGCTAATGGCATCTTTCCCCAGGCCAAATTACCATCCATCTGTCCCAGGGCTCTTCCAAAAACACGTACGCTGTCTGTTCCTCTAGGGTTTCACCAAAAGTAAGGAGCTGCTTGTTTAGCTAGGCAATGGCTTGCCACAAAGTCATGAAAATAACTTGCTTACATTTTGATCGCTAGTAATAATCAGGTTATGCTGTGTCACATAAGATTAAAAAGGTTAAGTGGTCGAATTCAGAGTTTTAGGAAAAGCCCTTAACAGGTTCCATTTAAATAATAATGAGCTGTTGATACACAAATTTAGGTTCTTTTGTGAAGCACTTTCAATTTATTTCAAAAGGTCTTGTAAATACTTGGAAGATGATGTAACCCTATCTCAATGGAAACATTCTGGATTTAATCAGCCCAACTGACAGCATAACTAGGAATTCTTGAACATTTGGACATTGTACATTTAAAAACAAATCCTCCAGAGCAAAACCCCTTTTTTCATTCGATGGACAATGTTCACCAAGTATACTACTCGAAGTGGGTATCAAAGTGGCAGGAACGCTCGGGGATTTAAGTCCTACCCAGATCAGCTTCACTCTATCAAAGCTTAATTGTTTGTTGACTTGCTCCCATTAATAACTGGCCAAAGGTCCTTCTGACCATTAGGATTAGGGCAGGGGCGCCAAAGAAACACTTACCAGGTTAAGATTTGCAGAATACGGAGCAGGGTCCCAGGCCACCAAAATGACGTCTTTATACAATGAACTGTCAATGAAGTGATGGGTGGGGTTGGTCAGAATCTGCAAATACAGAGAAAGATCATTTCAAAGCAAGTGTCTGTTTCTTCAGAATAATATTTCAGAAAGAGATGAAATTTTTTTTTTCTTGCTCTGATTCAGTTTTAAAAAGTTCCTCAGATTTTATGTTTTCCTCTCGGGGAGGGAGGGAGGCTGGCATTGCATGCTAAACAAAGCACTAAAATGAATTTTGGGGAACAATGAGGAGTTCGTTTATTTGTTTTTTAAGTCCACCAGTTCTTACATTTTCACCAGCACTGTACTCATACCTAGTGTTACCAATCGGCTCCTGAAAGATGTCATTCCCTAGCTAACTCAGCCCCGCAAATTCTTCTGCCATCAACTTCACAGGTAATTTGGAAAAACAGTAACAGGCGTGGATGAAGTGATTTACAAAGGTTCCTCCAGAGTGTCATCCTCAGAACAAAGGGGACACAGAGAGCCAGGCTACCTGAGTAAGTTCCGGGATAACCGGCTGCCCTCTGTGGCCCTATCTGGTCCTGGGTGAGTTCTTCAATCTCACCTGCCAATCGCTTTTTTTTTTTTTAACTACAGTTTTGGAAAAAAATAATGTATTATTTTCCACAGTTTTAAGATGCAGTTTTTTAGTTTTTAAGATCCAACTTTTTTCTTCATTTTTAATGTAACTGAAGTTAAAATGTATCTTACAGTGACATGTTTTCTAATTTGGTGGGGTTTATCTCCTCCACTCTGAAAAGCTCTTATTAAACGAATGGTGAGTCTTATAATCAATGCAATCTATAAATTAAGGAAATACAATAATTGTTTCTCACCTTGCTGCATGCTGCCTGGCTCAGGGTACTATGCAGAAAGCTAATCTTTTGTTTTGTAGGCAACTTACCATAAATCACTCATCACCTCATATTTTTCTATATCGTTTCAAACTCGAGAAAATTGTTGTGGTTTGTTCTGGCAATAATTTTGCTATAAATTTGGAAAGCATTCTTATTAAGAACACAAAGGAAAAAGAAGTTTTCATTTTCAACAATTCATTGTCATTTAGAAAAATTTCAAGTAACAGACTCAAGTTTTCAAGCTACCCAACTGACCCTTGAATTTTGAAATTTGCTTTTCTCTCCTTCATCCTGTGCCTTCTCATGAGCATGGTTTCCTCTAAATTTAAGTGTCTTTTTCTTAAGTTCACAAAATGTAACATGCTAAGTCATATATATATATATATACATACATATATATATATGTATGTATATATATATGGCATATGTGTGCTGATTTTTCCTTTTGATCTTATTTACTTATTTTTTCCTATTTATGTCACACATAAATTCCCATTTCTCTGAATTATTCTCCTTCTTATTTATTATTATTATTATTTTATAATTACAAAACCCATAGAAATAAGCAAGATCATAATCATGGGTAACTGGGTAATTTCTCTTCACTCATCCAGTTAATGTATTCACCTATGAAGTGTACATTCATGAAAATACTGCATCCGTCTTACCTGGGAATTAATGATGCGTACAGTGGTTTTATTGCCAACATCTTTTTCATAGCCACGTGTAGGAGCAGCGTTAAATCTCAAAACTGCATCATGAGAATCTAAGGGCACATAAGTGACAAACTCACTCTTTTTTCTCTGTAGAATCAATATAATCTAGGAAAATAGGTTAAAGTAAATCTTTCAATACCTGAAGCTAATCAGACACCAACAATGGAGACCCGTACGCATATTTTTCAGTATATTTCTGTTTGGAATGAGATTCTGGCTAGGGCCAAATCATTACGGAAACATACAAAACCAAAGTACTCCTATATCATCGAAGTTATATTTAGATACTTGTTATATGTTCATTCTTTAAAAGTGATATGCTTTATGCAGCCATTAGCCTACAGATTCCAAAACATTCTGAAGATGAAATCTATGGGGGCAGCTAAGGATGCTATAAACAGTCTGCTCACCTGCGGCTTCTCACTGCTCGTAGAGCATGGGGGCTGCTCCCGTACCTCTAATGCTGCTGTCTGCACCAAGATCAAGTGCACCTCTCACACAGGAAGAGCCACAGCTTTCAATGCAACTTTATCACTTTTGGGTGCTGGTCTGTGCTTAAAAAGAAAACCAGTCCTGATTTCTGTGCATCTTTACATATTGCTAATGATATCAAGAAGACCCATGTGAGAGCATCTTGGAGCAGTCTTAACTTCCAGCAAAGGCCTGACTTGTTGCCTCAGCTCTGGAGGAAGGGGGAGACCACCAAGGTCATTTACATTCCGTAAGGGCACCTTGGGCCACCAAGCTCCCACCACGATATAAATCTATGTGTCTCTTCCTTTGACTTGATATGTCAGACTTTCCCAAGTTCTCTGAGGTCCTGAGTGAAAACAAGGCTCCCATATCATGGAAGCTGACAAGGGAGACAAGAGCAAGAGGCTCACCTGGCTAATGGATGGAAAGGGAGGCAGTGTTCCCTTTGCACAATGCAGTCTCTATACATTCATGTGTCTTGAGATTTCCTGTGCCAGCTAATGTGTTTCCCAGAGACCAGACTGAAACCAGAGTTAATCAGCAATAAGGGAATTTCCATGGGCTAGGTTTAGCTTCAAAAATTCCACGTGCATTTCAAGTTTAAGTTGGAGCAATGACAATGCCTACTTGTGAGAGAGTGAGAGTTGAGATGTTGTATTTCTGATTTGCCAAAGAGCCTTGTGGACGCATGCCACAATTCCCATGACCATACCCCACTCAAGTCCCTAAAGCAGCTCACTTTCCTCACTTGAGTCCTGCTCTGCCCCTCTGAGCAGTCTCCTTGGGAGAGATCTCCCTACTCCCTGAGCAGCAGACCCTCAGCACGCATGACGCCATTAAAACCACGTTACAAAAGGTGCCTCTCATGACAAGCACTGAACTTAGAAGAATTCAGATTCCAGTTTTAAGCACCATAATTAATAAACATTTGGAATATAAAAAATGCATAAAGGGTACCTGGCTATGTCATCAAAAAAATCCTACAATGATCTTTTAAGGGAAATTCTGCCATAGGAGGTAAGCTATGACCTGCCACCTGTTTTAGTAAATAAAGTTGTACTGCAACAGCCACACTTATTTGTTCATCTGTTGCCTATAATGGCTGAGTTGAGTGGTGAGAGACCCTATAGCTAACAAAGCATAACATTTACTACCTGGCTCCTAAAAAAAAAAGAAGTTTGTCAATCTCTAGATTCTTACTTTTGGGGCTCAAGGCCCCTTTACACTCTTGAAAATATATGACCACCCAAAGACATTTTGTTTATTTGGACGGTATGTATCAATATGCAGCACATTAGAAAGTAAAAACAGAACACATTAAATAGTTATTAGTTTAACTTAAAATAACATTTTTTTTTACAAAAAAACCTATATTTTCAACAACAAAAATAGTGAGAAGACTGGCATGTTTTAAATGTTTGCAAATCTCATTAACGTCTGACTTTTGAGAAAACAGTTGGTTTCTCCTAGCTGTTTCTGAATTCACTCTGCTGCAATGTATTGCTTTTGTTGAAGTGTATGAAGATGTGTCACTGAAAGTGGAAGGAATATTTTATGTCTTTCCAAATCACTGGAAAAAGTCTTCTTTCATACTTCATCAAAATTTGACTCGTGCTAGTTTCTTAAAAGTTAGTTGTAATGAGGAATATGACACAGTATCAATGAACTTTTCATGCTGTTACACTGGAACACATTAGTTTATCTTGCTCTTAAAATGGATGATTCAGCCATGCAAACTTTTGTAATATTGTGCAATGATTAAAAAAGTAATAAAGACCACATTAATTAATATCACCATGGTTTGCATTCGTTTTCAAAGTAGTAGAAGCTTGAATTTTATCACTAGCAACAAATGCTGTCATTTACTTCCCTAAAAGTGACAGGCTCACTTAATTCCTTTTTCAGACAGAATACCTGCCATATATGCAGGTCTGAATAAAGTGTGTCTGTCAGTCATTTGTTTCAGGTAAAATCTGTGTTTCCTGATGAGGTGTGTTCTTCTCACAGCTCAGTCACACAAGTGCTTCTCCACTGTGTGCTGATATGCTCAAGTGCTTCTCAGGTCATTTCCCACTTTGTCTTAAAAACGTGTTTACTCAGGATTGAAATTGAATAAAACCAACAATTTTTACTGCTTTATAAGGGACATCCGTAAGTGAAACTGGCAAGTTTTCCTGTTACTGCTATGCTTGGTGGCGAAAATTATAATGACTAGTAGAGTTGGGTCCCCACTGCCTTGCATTTGTGCTAAGAAGCAGTTTTACCAACCAGTGCTTTTGTATCAACAGTGCAAATGCCAACAGTTAAAAAAAAAACCCCACAAAACAACAAAAAGCTTCTGAGTATTATAAAAAGCTTTCACCTTATGAGCCCCTGAAAAGGTCTTGAACTCCCCAAGTGTAAGCAGATCACACTGTGTGAACTGCTGACCTAAGCTGACCCGGATGACAAGGCCGAGAGAGGAGGCTCCAGACAGCGAGGTGAACTTCAGGCAGTGAGAGATAATCAGGACCACACCAGGATGGGAAGCATGGGGCCAGCACTCCTAACGACCGTCTCCCCTAAACCATGTGGCCCCCAGACACAGTCCCATCTAAAGGAAAGGTGAACAAGCCAAGGACCCCAAGCATTTCAAATTAATTAGGCAGTAATTCCAAATTCATCGTATCGCTCCTGAAAATGTCCCAGCTTTTTATTTTTATTTTTTATTAAATGTATTGGGGTGACACTGGTTAGTAAAATTATATAGGTTTCAAATGTACAATCCTGTAATACATCATCTCTCTATATATCATTGTGTGTTCACTACCCAGAGTCAGTTCTTCCATCACCATATATTTGACCCCCTTTACCCTCATCTACCATCCCCCTCCCCCCTTACCCTCTGGTAACCACTAAACTATTGTCTGTGTCTCTGAATTTTTGTTTCTTTGTTTGTTGTCTGCCCCGGCTTTTTAAATGCCAGTGTTCTACACTGAGGGCTGTCTGAAGCCTTCAAACAACCTCATGAGGCCCAGGGCACAGAAGTGTAATCTAGCTTAGCTCCTTTGTTAGTGGCATGAATCTGAAGAGTTAAAAGGCCAGTTTCATGCAGGATGCAGGGAGGTAGAGCCAGAGGCTGCCTGAATGGAGAATGAGCCTCCTTAAAAGCTGTCATGAGTTAAAGTGGATCAGGATGCCAGAAGGAAGCATGCAGGGGAGGACGAGCTCAGAGTCCATCACTCAGACAAGCTGTGTAAACGTATGTCTGGCTGTGTATGCATCTCCTTGATAACATGCCTTAAAAACTAAGCTGTCCATCCCTATTTAGAAAAGAAGAAACAGATCGGACAGCAAGCACAAGGGGAATAAAGTAAAGCATCATATCTGGAGAAGGCATTTGCAGGCTAAAGCCCGTTCACTTTGACCTTGAGAACAGAGCCAGGCTAAGCGCATTCACTGAAGGAAGACTAAGGAGCAGCCAGCCAGGAGGTGCACGAGCAAGCATAAAGTCACTGCGCTGCCCTGAGCACCGCACCCCATGTTCTCCCCTTCCTTTCCCACACTCATGCAGAAAACCAGATCTGTAAGTCTGGGAGCAAAGGCCTCCAGTCCTTAGGGAATTCATCTCTCTCTTGACTCGAATGCCTGGGTCTGTCTCACGTCTCACAAGACTCCCGCAATGGGACTTACTTTCCTCATGCCCTCAAATCTAGGCTGTAGAGCAATCTCTCTAAAATAAAAGGCTGACCCACCCCTCCTGTGCTTCAAAGATTAAAGCCTTTCACCATGGGCCAGGGGTCAGAGTAGGAGTTTCTGGAGACTCAGCCTGGGGTTTGATGGCAACCAGGCTTTGCCCTCTGGACCTCTATCTAGATGCCTCCATCTCCTTATCTATAAAACTGGAATAATCATATGACATCGGACAATTAAGTTCATGAACTCATCCTAGAAAAAGTGCTACAAACCTCACTGCTGAATATCACTATGGTCACCTTCGCAGTACTCCCCTTGGGAAGCTATGCACCAACACCAGCACCTAGTCCACTTTTCAAAGCAATTTTGGAAATTTTTCTGGAATGGCCATCACAGCTGTCATTGTATTATCCTCGATGTCCTGAATGTCATCAAAATGTCTTCCTGTCAATATTTCCTTTATCTTCAGGTAAAGAAAGAAGTCATGGGGACCAGATCTGGTCAGTAGGGAGGGTGTTCCAATAGTTATTTGTTTACTGGCTAAAAACTCCCTCACAGACAGTGCTGTGTGAGCTGGTGCATTGTCGTGATGCAAGAGCCATGAATTGTTTGTGAAAGGTTCAGGTTGCCTAACTTTTTCATGCAGCCTTTTCAGCACTCCCAAATAGTTCACTTTGTTAACTCTTAGTCCAGTTGGTACAAGCTCATAATGAATAACCCCTCTGATATCAAAAAAAGTTTAGCAACATCATTATAACAAGTTCGCAAACTTAATTGTCTTACCTCCCATCTATCAATTAGGGTTGCAAGGCTTCCAGCAGCTTTTATGTTTTTAATATATAAAAGCGTTTTAGAACTGGACTTTGTCTGCTGTAAATGCCCTATTAAGTGAATATGAATAGATACATATGAATACAATTATTAATGATGCACAAGAACATGTGAGAGCTGACCCCTGCCTGCCTATCCAGCTTTCTGTCTTCTCCCCCCACTCCCCTCCCCAGTAGCACCCATCACCTGCACACTGCGCTGTTTCTCACCTCACTGCTATGCTGGCCTTTGGCCTGGAGTCCCCTCTTCCGAGCAGTCTTTGCTAACCTCCTCTCTCTGCCCAGGCACCAGCCCTCACATGGGTTAGGATTCTGTTTTCTTGCCTCTAAGTTTACATCTCTCTCCTTACTTCTAGCAACAAGATTGTCATTGCCTGTTCTCTTTATGTCACTAGTAGCTAGCATAGTCTGTCTCAGGCCTTGGTGAAGTAGGGATCAATAAATATTCAATGTTTGTTGAATGACTATCTGATCTACTTTCTCACTTTTTTTAGGTACCAGGATCTGCCAAATGCCAAGCTCTCACCAGCAAGTACTATATGCCCCACTCCCTACGTACTCCCCCTCCACTACCCACACACTTCCAAGAATTTGAATTTCAAGTACACAGATTTTGATCTCCCTTATTAAGGCCACTGTTGTTAGTTCAGTGTAGACGTTGTAGTGTTTCCACAGGATTGCTGGCAGTGATCTAGCTACCAAATTACTATCATTTATATGTATGGCTGGAAAAAAACATCTCACTGATGCTATGAAAGAATGTTCCACTGCTTCCAAAACAGTTCACTTTACTTTTCAATAACATATTCAAAGGTGTTTACAACTGCTACAATGTTCTTAAAAACATTTACCACGGTATGACTCGGTCTAGAACCGGGAAACAGGACTGTACTGCCAAGGAAACCAGCAGAGGGAGCTAGAGGGCAGTGGAAAAGCGAACCACCTGGCCAGCTGGGGCTTCCTCTCAGAGGGTGAGGAGTTGCCCAGCATTCAGGGACAGTGCAGCCCTGAGGGCCTCCTGGCAGGGCTGACATGGAGCTAGCCCAGGTACTTTTCTAGCTCTGCCCTCAGTTTTTCGAAAGACCATGACCTTTTGTGAGTCTTCTGATCTTCACGCAGCCAATTCACAAGCATTTAGGTATGTAGGGGCCAAGACAAATTTAGCTACATAGTATAGCATGCCCCATATTCTAAGTTGCCTGGAGAAATCTGCTACATGAATTTGTTTTTATTAAAAGAGCTGTTAACAACCATGTGTCGATAAGCATCACACATTCAGACAGTAGGGAAGACAAACGTCGGCACCTCAACTCGCACACCTGCTGATGCTACGAGATACCAGCTTATAAAAATGGAAGACGTTTTTTGTTTTTACAAATTGTATTATGCTATGACATGTTTTTATAACTGGATTTAAAGGAACATAGACAAAACAGTAAAGAGAATTATAAAAACACACACAGTGTTTTTTAGTTACGATTCTACAATTCTAGTCATGAAGCTTCATATAAGTGCACACAATATAAATTTAGATACTAAAAATTAACAAAGATAGAACTGACATTTCAGGTTCCTCAGAAACGTAATTCCCAGTGTCTTTCATGCTCTAATCCAAATTCTGAATAGAGTCGAGTTTATGAAACTCTGGTTAGGGACACTGATGCCAGAATAAAGAGCAAGGGATATTACGAGAGCAACCCAAACACACAGTTACGATGCAGAGGTGTTTAAAACAAAGCAAAACAAAACCAGAAGCAAGTTCCTGCCTGCTTTAGAGCATAATACTGGCATTCCTTCTTCCATTATTAATAATGGTCTTCGGAAACGAGCAAGAACTGTGGCGTTACTTCCCTCCAGGGACCTCTGCACCACCTCTCTTGCCTAATCAACTGCAGGCTGCTCTGCTCTGGCTTTGGCTACACATTTATGTGACACATGGACAATGTTATTATGAGCCTGCTGTAATGTCAGCACGGGGCCACTGGGACCCAAGACCTCAAGCCCAGATTTGTGTCTTGTTTTCTTAACTTTAAATATTTCACATTGAGCCCTGTGCCCAACATCTGAGATGAGATCGGGGTTGTGGAGCCTGATCATAATGGCATTACCCCATTTCTGGACGGCTCTGGAATATTAGCTACTCCTCAAGGACCGAGACCAATGGATCCAGGAAACAACGGGCATTCCTTTCTAACAAGTGGGTGATGCCTCTGAATGTCACTTCCAGACTAGTGATGAGCTAACACTGTCTGTTGTGAGAATGTATTAGAGCCGGTAACTTTATATCTAGACTTGAGGCCAAGGCTGTGTCTAATTCCCTTGGCACCTAGTACAGAAGCTGGCACACAGTAGGGGCTAAACACTTGTTTGTTAAATGAGTTAATGGGCCTCAAGTGCCAAGCTGCTTGCTCACTGGTGCAGCAATGGAATTAGCCTGGGCACTGAGGGAAGCCTAAGGCCTTAAAGCAAAGACTGAAGTTTCCTAAGCAAGAAGGAATTCTGTATCTAGACTGCAACAGAGAAACCCTGCCTGAGTTTCCCACTGGCCACCCTGTCCTGCAGATTTGGGGCTCCAGATGGCAACTCTTACCTGAATTTCCAGCCTACCTGATTGCCCTACAAATTTCACAATTGCCAGTCTCCACAATCACAGGAGCAGGTCCTTAAAATAAATCTCTTTCTCTCTACATACACATCCCATCTGTCTGTTTCCCTGGAGAGGCCTAATACAGGAACTATGAAACAGATGTGCCCCAAGGCTCTGGACAAACAGAACCCAGAAGGGCAGATGGGAGCCCTGGGTGTGGCTGTGCTATTTACCTCCTGGAGAAGGTCCCTGCTAGGTGCACTGATCAGGACCCCAGCATTGGATGTGTGCCAAAAGGGCGGAGGTCAGAACTCACGGTTGCGACAGGAATAATATTCTGGACAGCAGTCGGGCTCTCCTCACAGCCCACACCGATTTAGCCCCTGAACTCACTGAAATCGTCATCGTGCATACTTCTCTCTGGAGCTGACACCCTGACTTTGCCCCCGTGGGCCGTCTCTCTCCTTTCTCATCCTCCTGTTTTCTCTCCCATAATTCTACCACATTATAGGTTCACCAGGCTTTTCTGGGCCAGGCTGGGAGCCTACCGAGTCGGAACATAGTTTCTAAGGGAGACGAAACCTGAGACAGGCGCAGTAAGAGAGCACGAGGCTGCCAAAGGCGGGGCGCGGGCCTCCCACTCCCCCTGGAACCCAGCTACCAGGAGAACGCCTCTGCTGTAAAATTGCCTCACAGAATACCTCTGCTGGGGTCCCAAACGGGATCCCAGCGAGGGACCAGCACTCTCCAGCTAATGTCCGAAACATCCAGTGCTGGGCCCCGGATCGGCCCGCCAGTGGGATCCAAAGGCAGGTGGAGAAAGAGCCTGCCCGCAATTACGCACCGAGCCCAAGACTGTGACCAGAGACCCCACGATGACACCCACCTATCTCCTCCCCCAAGGAGGAGTTGAGGATGGCGCCGGCAGACATGACCACGGCGCAGCTGCGCAGGCCGCGCGGGTGCAGCTGGCTGAGCGGCACCGCGGGGACCAGCGCCTGCCAGCCCAGCGCGGAGAAGGGCGGCTCCGTGCCGTCGAGTGTGCGCACGCGCACCCGGTGCCGCAGCGCGCACAGCAGCGCCGCCCGGCTCCGTCCCGCCGCGCGCTGCCCGCGGAAGCGCACGCCGTGCTTGTTGGCGCTCAGATAGTCCTTCATTGCCTTCTGCAGGCGTGGGTTGAGCATCTTGGAGGAGACGTTTCCCTTCCAGAGCCGGTGCAGGAAGGCCCTGGACATGGAGGAGTACAGCCTGTCCCCGTCGTCGCCCTCCTCTAGCACGTGGCTCCTTCCCTGGTGCCGGTGCCTTTTCTTCACCCGCCTTCTCTGGGCCTGGTGAGCGGGCGACGCGCCTTCCCGCCGGCCTGGGTCCTCGCGGGAAAGGGACTCCGACGTGCCCTGAGTGTGGCTGTGCGACCCTCGCTGACCAGCAGCAAAAAAGTAGTCGTCGTCCTCCGGGTAGAAAGCGCTCTGAGATTTTCTCCCGATCTGGGATGAAAAGAACTCTTCATTTTCAAACCTATCTTGCACCTGAGCCCATTTCTGCAGGTCACGGGGCCCCGTGAGGAAGGGGCCAGACAGGTGTCCATCGAGCAGCCCTTTATTTGCGTTCACGCTTTCAGGCAAGGAGGGCTCCTGCATGGCGCCCATGATGGCCCTCTGCTTCCCCTGCACGGGCAAGAGCCTCCTGGTCTCCAGGAAGGAGAAGGAGCTGGGCGCAGGCTCAGCAGGGTTGCTGTCAGTGAAGTAAATGAAAATCACCACGAAGAGGAGCCCCCAAGCAAATATCCCGCAAAGCATTCGTTGTCGCCATTGCTTCAAGTGTGGTTTCATGGCAGGTCTCTGCGGTCAGCACCCTGTGTCCTGAAGCGGTGGGGGGCGGAATGAACCTGAAAAACAGCCAGGTCACCAGTTAGCCAACATGGGACACCTGCTCAGACATCACTGGGGACAGTTTATCTGCGGCATTTCTGTAGGAGAGAGTTAGGAGGGGCATCAGAAACCAGGATCATTTGGGAGCTTTGGCTAAATTCAGGTGTCATATCTCCCCCCACCCTGGCCTTTTGAAAAGGGGCTCCACCATCTCAGCTGAGAGTCTTGGGAGAGAGGAGGTGAAGTGGGCATATATTTGGAAACCTTCTCCAGGTCATTCAGTGACAAGTCTGCCTCCCCACCTTGAAAGCTGCTTAATTGGGCCCATCCCGACAACCTCTCCCTGCAACTGGGTTTATAGAATTCCAATTTGGTAAAGCAAAGCAGGAGAGTTAAGCAGAGGTTGCCATCGCTTACCTGACTATCAGGAGACCAAAATGCACTGCTGTGTATTTCTAAGGGCTGACAAGCATATCTGATTCTTTTGGTCTCCCCTAGGCCTGGGAGGCTGCCTGAAACATACCAGAAGCCCACCTATGGTGGTCTTGAATAAGCACTGCTTCAGTGACTGTAGCTGCAGGGGGGTGTTATGCCAGGGAGTCTGTGGACTTCAACAGTGCCCCAAATTATGCCCACCTACTTCACCCTCACCAGGAACCTCTGAGAGAATAAAAGTTAAATAAGGGAGGAGATGAACTTGCTGACTCTCGATGAGCCTTCAACAGAGAAAGGGTGACGAAGGCAGCAGACATGAAAAGTATAAGATAGAATGTAAGAGAGAAGTAAATTCTCTATTCAGTATTCCAACCCATGTTTATTGTTACACTGATACTTGGGTAGCACAGTGCTTAGTACTAAGGGAAACAATAAAACATTAATAAGCAATGCACCTAAGCTTCAGGAATGTAAGCCAAGCCCAGAAAGGCAAAAACATAATTCACGTTTGTGGAATAATAATTGAGCTTGCTGGGACTTTATTAACGCTGAGCACAGTGCCCAGCACAGGCAGACTCTGAATAAATATGAATTGGAAGAATGACGTGAGCCTGTGTGTCTGCATGTTGGGGTCTGCAGGCATCCATGGCTGTGTGAGATGCTGTTGGAAGAAGTAGCGAGGCCATTTGGGGAAAACAACTAAAAAGCTATGCCCTTTCACCGTGGGGGACCTCAAGGGCCTACGTGGATATCTGGGCTGTAGGAGAAACAGGAGAAACGGGAGGGAGAAAGTTCTCCGAGCGAAGGCATGATGTGCTGCTTGCAAGGGCTTTTAGGAGACGACTTTGTCACAGGTAAGGCAAGGGCAGAGAGGGGTGGTAGGGAGAGGTCATCAGTAGAGATCAGACACTCAGAAAGGATCTAGTGGAGGAGCTCACGGGGAAATTAGAACTCATCTACTAATAATCCTTCTCTAGGTTTATTAATCCTTGGTGCCACTACAACACCAAGGCACATGAGGCGCGGCCATAATGCAACACAGCGCCGGGGTTTTTACTCAAATAAGTGAAATCAAAGTGAGTGGCACCTATGTCAATGTAGGCACGCCACAGTAAGAAAACCACATTTGCCTTATGGCTCTGTAGACAATTAAAGATGGACACAGATTCTTTGACACTCTTTGTATGGAGAGATGGGGTCTATGTATCCTCCCCTTGAATAAGTGGGGTGGGGGGGTGGGGCACAGGACTACTTTGATCAGTTATCAGGCCCAGGCCCAGCCGATTGCACTTCCTGCCTCTTAAAGCTCACTCTGCGGGAAGCCAGCCGCCAACAAAGATTTCTCTGTAACCTGAATCCACTACACAGGGAGGAAGCCCAAACTAGCCTTGTGGAAAGGCCACATGGACTGAGAGATGCCCAGCCGGCCCTGAGCGTTTCCAGCCATCCCCGCCCGGGCACCAAATGTGAAGAGTGACGAGTGACGACCAGCCCAGGTGAGCTTTCAGATGATTCCAGCCCCGGCCAACCTCTGACTACACCCAATGTAGACCCCAAGTTAAGAGCCCAGCCAAGCCAGTCAACCCACAGAACCATGAGTGATAATGATAGATTGTTGCTCTAAAACACTGAGTTTGGCGTTGATTTGTTAAATATTGAGAATAGATCATTGGAACAGGCTCTAATAGAGATGCCAAGTGAGAAGTGCCCAAAATGCTTCCAACAGTTGTGGCATCCTTGAGATAAATAAGAGCCCAGCCTCTCACAGGGATTATATGAGAAGTAACTTTCATTTAAATGCATACATTGTGGCTTTTCAAAAAGTGTTTGCTTTGGGCTGGCCGAGTGGCGCGATGGTTAAGAGCTGGCTTGGGACGCCAGAGGGCCCTGGTTCAGATCCCATATATGAGGGCCAGTGACACTGCCCTCCACAGCTAAGATGCTGAACAACAGCTCAACCTGGAGCTGGGCTGCCATGAGTCGCCGGCGACGGCATAGGCTGCAGCCCCTGTGGCAGTGGGCTGCTATGGGCTACCGTATGTAGCCAGCAGCCAGCGTGAGCGGCCAGCAGCTGCAGTGAGCAGCCGTCCAGAAGCCGGTGACTGATGTCCCTCACCTGGGAAGAGCGCAATGATGGTGCCAACTTGGGCCAGTGAAGCAACGTCCTCCACAACTAGACTGAAGAACAAAAAGACAGCAACTTGTCTGTTCCCCTTCCCCCAATTCCCCAGCACTGTTCCCATCCCCCAATTCCCCAATAAAAATCCTAAAAAAAAAAAAAAAAGTGTTTGCTTTACCTTGTGTTCATGAAAGCCAGGATGTAGATGCCATAACCATACACATATACAGCGCATGCTTTCACCAAGCTAGAGACACTGAAGCCAAGAAATGAACGCGGAAGAATTAATACCAGCAGTTAACTTTCTATGTGCAAAAACCTGTGCTTAGCACTTTTCCTGGAGTATCTTATTTGGTCTTCCCAGAACCTAATAAGACAGGAAATACTGCTGTCCATTTTTTGGATGAGGAAACTGAAGCCCAGAGAAGTTAAGTAACTTGCCCAAAGCCACGGAGACAGCAGGCAGCAAATATTCTGTACAGACCCATCTGCTTGACCTCGGGGCTCACATTTTTAACACTAATTTCTGAGTCCATCTGATCATTCTAACTGAGGCTGTATCTTCTAAATAAGCCTTCTTAAACTATCTGTGGTGAAGGATCATTTTTTTTCCCCCACAAATTTTCACAATCTGATACTTTCACATTTCCATTCCTGAATGTCTTGGCAATATCTAATTGCTGTAAAAGTTTTTAAATGCTTACCATCAGTTCTGAAACATATCTCAGTCAGGAACTGGTAATGAACCTTTTGCAGAACTGCACAGCCTGGAGCCACACTTTGAGTAGAGTCCGCTAAGTGGTCTTTCTAAACCTATCCACTGAGGAGCCAGTGCTTCGAATCATAGTGCCCAACCTGAAGATCTGGAACTATTTCCAGTATTTCAACATTTCTATGAGAAATCAGAGACATGTCCTTAATAATAGTTATTCTGCTTCCACCCCAACTGAGTGCACTGCAATACAATTCTGACACTAATCACTGGAATTAGCAGTCCCACAAGACTGCCCCCCCTCTCAACACCGGCCCTAATTAACATCCCCAGGCCACCTGCATTTCTCACCATTTGGGATGTTCCCACGATACCCCTCAGGTTTGATAACTTGCTAGACTGACTAATAGAACTCAGGAAAGCACTTTACTATGAGCTTTCCTGATGAGTTTCTTTGTAAGGGATACATGAGATTGCAGGTGTTATGTGTGTGGGAGTCCCAAATACAGAGCCCTTGTCCATGCCCCGAGGTTTCAGGCAACATCATCCTCTTGGGCCGTCGATGTGTTCACCAACCAGGAAGCTCCACAGAACCTTGGCATCTCGTTTTTATTGGGGTTCCATTACATAGGCATGATTGGCTGAATCACTGGCCATGTGCCTGAATTCAATCTCCAGTACCCCATCTCTCCCCAGAGGTCAGGCTGGCCCAAAGTCCCCCATGTCTAATCACAGGGTAGGTCTTTCCAGTGTCTAGCCTCCATCCTGAAGCTATCTAGGGACCCACTAAGACTCACTTCATTAGCATAACAAAGACACTCCTGCCACTCAGGAAATCCCAAGGGTTTTAGAAACTCCATGCCAGGAACCCAGGACAAAGACCAGACAAATCCTTATGCAACCACAGGACTGTAGTAGCTAATTTAAAAGTCAGTCTTTCTGATTCTGGTGGAAATTGTCTTTTCCTGGTTGCCATGCAACAGCTTGGGGGCTTATTCTGGTGGATTACTAAAGAATGGGAAATGGAGGCTTCTTACTTCAGCATTTGCTTCAGAGTCCATTTTGAAAACACAAAGTCAAAAGGTGAGGTGTGTGCATAGAGTTGCATGAGGTGAAACAAGGAACAGGAAGCTTGATTTGTTGGGGAGGAACTAGAAACCTCTGGCCTCAGGATTGGAGCTGAGGACCAGTGCCCTTCATGCCAGATGACCCTTAGTTGCCTCGGTTCAGCACAGTCAAGGAGCCATGGAACTGGAGCTGAAAGGAAAAACCCACTAAATTTCATGTCAGGATTCAGAGTATCACAATACAGACTTTATTACACAGAAATGCCTAGTTTCCACCCGAAGACATGCAATCTCCCCTTCTCCCCTCCCACCCCTCCCCATGGGGAGATGACAGACATGAGAGGGAGGAAGAAAGATAAAAGAAAGTCTGTGGACACAAGGAAAGTAAAGGGAAAGCCGCTTTGTATAGAAGGGCTGCTGCTGGTCCAGGACCCTAAGACAGATCTTGTCCTCTCTGCCTAGAAGTCTGGGGAGTAGAAAGGGTGGGGTTTGTGAAGCTCTCTGAGCACCGTGGGAGGAATAAGTACCAGAATGCAAAGAATGAAGACTTCTCATTAGGTGAGACTCTGTGGTCCCCTGTGCACAGTCATAGAAAAAAGGAGTGGGACCTGCCTCAACTCATGATTAGGCTTCAGTGTCTAACAATCCCAGTCTTCTCTGCAACTTCTGTCACTGCAAACCTGCTGCTGCCAATTAAGGGAACATCATGCACGAATTGAATCTCAAAGCAACAGTAAATCCTCTGCTAGCAAAATGCTACAGAAATCACTGTATACATACTGGGTCCCAGTTATCAACATATTCATAAAAATCCAGGTTAGAGAGAGGTGGAGGACATCCTCAATGTCACAGTCTTGGATCATTCTTTCCTTATAATGACCATATAGTCGAATAGGAAGAAATGTTTGGCTAAGCAATAGAAAAAATAAAAATAAGAAAGAACATTTTTTTTTCTTTAATACAGGTGAAATATTATAATGACATAGCTTAAACAACATGGTGTCTGCTATATCCCATCATTAGCTGTGTGATATAAATCACATCGGGGACACATAAGTGGCACATCAGGGAAATCATCTGTCCCCAGGCGCCCATGAAAAAGGGCTCCCTAATCATACGTCCACGTGTGCTTTGTTGGGGATGGTGTGAGTGACTGCTATTGCTGAGCTCTTCTCAGTTCCTCGCCCCGCCCCCCCCGGAAGAGAATTGGCACTGTTATACAGTTTGTGTGGTGTGCTTACTCTTCTGTTCTGTGGTGCATCTAACATCATTACCTGGCCATGCTAAGGTTTAAATTCCAAGTGGGTGTTCTCTGCCCATTTGAACCACCTTTCTCCACTTCCACCCTGCTCTCGCTGTGTGTTTGCTGCCTCCCCAGCCCAGCCCCTAGGAAACTTGCATGGCAATAATAAGGCTATGATTACAGGCAACATTTAAAAAATGACTCACTACTCAAAATTAATTTGATTGTTCTACCTGCTTAGGAACTTTGGTACTCATATCTTGGAAACTAATTCTCAAACAAAGAAATGAATCACATTTCCACGTGCATATTCAAAATAATACAAAAGTGTTTAAATTCTCCTTCAGATGGTTCAGAAAGAAGTCACATTTTCCAAAGGGCATGATTTATTACAAATTGTGAGATGAAATTTTGAATTGTAAGCACTGCCACAGACGAACATTATAATGCAAATACAGCTACCTTCTTATTTTGTTCAAGGATAAAGAGAAGTTTATTCTGGGCTTTGCCACTTTAATGATGTCTCCTCATAAGCCCTGAGGTTGACATGCTTTGATCACCAGTTTTCTTGAATGGAGAGTAATTTTTTAACACACTTTGATTGATGTGTCTGCTACAATTGCCATCTAGCCAGGTTTTCTGTTGGTGTGAGAAACACACTTTTTTGTGTGTGTAGAAGTTGTCTGAACTGATCTTAAATCTAAGTATTTATTTTAACGTTGAGATAATAAAGAAGATTTAGTGTGTGAATGATAGTGAGACACTCTTATATCTTAATAGCCTTCAGGAGTTATTTTCTTTCAAGAACCATTTTTCTAAAATTAGCTCGTCGCATATCCAAGAAACCATTCAGTCTACAGCAAAGAGGAAGGTCCACCCCCAGCTGGAATTCTTCTATCATTTCACAACCTCATAGACTCCTTTACAAATGACCTCCTTGCTTTTCTTTCTTCATTTTTTATAAAAGCAAGCAAGCCTCCAGACTGCCACATGCATGACACTAAGGGTTTACGTCCTAATTCATTCCTTCTGTAGCCCCAGCCCACTCTTAAGCTAATGTCCAGCAGGACAGAAAAAAAAAAAAAAAGTCAGCCCGGGGCCAGGGGAGCTTGGTGGCAGGACAGCCCCACTGCCCGTGCTGTGAGCCCGGATGGTGCCCAGCTCCTACAGGCTCAGGCTAGGGCTCCCTGTGACCGGGAACCATTTGACTCCAGAATGGATGTAGCAACCTCACGTGCAAGGGCGCTGCTAGGGCTGGCGGACTCCAGTGAGCTCACTTGGCAAAGGCATTAGTTTAAAAAACATGTGCCAGGGCTTCCGGTTCATTTAAAATTTGGATGTTGGAGCCATCTCAGTGGGGAAGCGTGTGAGCTACTGGAAAGCGGGACCACATCTTATTCAGTCTCATATTCCCAGAAAACAAAGTAGCTTGTGTCATGGGAGGTTCCCCGTTAATATTTCTGAAGTAAATGAAATGAATGAGTGGAATTAATACAGTAAAATAAGTGGATAGGGCTGGATGGGGCTCTTGGCTGGGTTCAGAGGGAGGGAATATAATGCTTGCTGTGTTTCCTGGGCCATCGGGGTGGCTCCGAGCAAATGCAGCCAGTTGTCCTGTGGCTAGGTTACTATTATATCATAGCAATACTCAGGGTGGAACTAGCAGCAATCCTATCAGACGGTGCCACTTACCAGATGCCTACTATGTGCCAGACACTGTAGCAAGCACCTGATATAGACTCATTTTAATTCTCCATTCTCAGTTTAACCTTTACAAATCCCTTAGTAAATATTGCTATTCTCATTCAGCATATAAAGAAACTGAAGCTCTAAGTGGTCCCCTTCCTATACATTGTTCCCAAAACCCCATCTTTCTAAAAGACTATATCACAAAGCCAGAAGAAGCTGCACACACTCAAAATTTTAATGGGATCTTTCTTTTCTCTCTGCCACCAAGTATGACATCGAATTTTAGGCTTGCTCTCTACATTGACCGGACCAAGTGACCCCCAACATCCCAACTTCCCTACTATCCATGTTCGTGTTCACAGGAGAGGCTGATCTTCCTAGTCAGGCCTCAGATCTAGAATCCACACCCTCCCCATGCTCGGCATTCTCAGTCAGAAAGAGCTGCCAGTTCTCTGACACCGAGGCTCTGCGGGTGAAGGCCCATGATTATCTAAGTAGGAAGGTAAAATGATTCTGACTGCTTGAATCTCCATCCCAAGACAGGGGGTGAATGTACAGGGGAGCCACATGGACTAAAGTAATCCTGGAGTGCTGCGGAGAGGAGGGGAGCTAGCTGCACATTGAAGGACTAATGGTGGGCATGGAAGGGAGTTAGTCACTTCCAGCCAGTGGAATACCTGAGCCAGGTGTGCCTGGAATGAGAATATGGAGAATATGGCACACTGGCTGGCGACTGGGAGTGATGGGCTGAGGCTGGACAAGGGTGGGCCACACTTAAGATGATGGATTAATTTCTGGGCAAATGATTTCAGCAATACAAGGTTTTTGCTTGAGTGGCAAGGCAGATGGAAAAGAGTTTAAAAGACAGACTTACATATGTGAGCCACTCTGGGTAGCTTTTAGCTTTCAAAACTTTCTCCACTGAGGTGGCAGGTGCTGTTGGGGCAGGGGGAGGCGGGACTGACTCCAGATATCTCTTATTGGTTGTGCAGAGACAACACAGCTACTAGCTAGGGTCTGTCGGCTTCCGGAAACAGCATCTGTCTGCTTTGGACACAGTGGCTTGTTTGTTTTACGATAATTAGCATTCAAATATTTACACTCTGTACCAATAATATGCCAAGGCTCACGATCGAAGCTGTAAATTAGTTTTCAGCACGGATACCCGGTAGTCAAAAAGACGGAAGGTTGCATACCTGCCATTGAGATTTGGAAGTTTTACTTTGATTCTTCAAATGTAAGTAGGCTTCATGGTAGCAGCTAGGTGGCTCTTACTAGGAGGCCTCGGTATCAGCAGAAGGCACCCTTTCTTAGAAAAGCACGCCTCTGCGTCATAGCCCGAGGGGCAGCGACATCAGCGTGGGCTGGCGGTGGGTGGGCATT